TATTAAAAACCGACAGATTTGGTTTGGTTTTCGATGGATTGGTTCGGTTTCGAGGGCTGGATCTGGTTTTGAGGGATTGGTTTGGTTTCGTCGGATTGGTTAAACGGTTAGACGATTTGGTTTAATTGGATTGACCATAAATCCGGGTCGGGTCGGGGCGGGTGGGTTATACCCTGGTAAAACTTGTAATACTTCAACTGTTTCACGGTTTTTATGTCATTTCATCCATTTCCGATTTTTCAAATAAATGTTTATCTTTATATTTATGTGGGTGTCTATGAGAGATTGCCTTTTGACATTTAGGGGCTCTAGAGGAGATGCCTAGCTTCGTATCCTTCTCGTAGACATTCTATTCTCCACTTTCACTCGCATAATATTTGGCCGCCTTATTTATCTCTTACTGGTTTCTTACGCCATCATCTCCTTCTTTCTTGTGGTAGTGTATGTAACGGAAGATTTTTTTTTTTTTGTTCAGCAAATTTTAGGGTTTTAGAAAGAAAGTTGACTCTTTTCTCGAGTCTTTTTTTGTGTGTGTTATATGGGATTTAGGGTTTAAAGAAGGATTTTCCAAATGGCTTCTGTGTTTGTGAACATGGATAGGTGAATCAAATCTCTTCCACTGCTTACATGGTTTTATTTAATGATGTGCAAAATATTCAAACTTTTTGATCCAAAAGAACACATTAGACATAGATGAGCTTGTTGCAATAGTTCAAACTTATGAATAGCAGCCAGCCCTTTTATTTATCTGATTGATTTAAATCTATAAAAGAAGATATTTTGTTGTATATCAGATTCGAATTCATATTCAGTTGTTTTCTTTTTCAGGTTTTATGATAGTGATGTATGTTTTTGAGACGTATTTGGATATGAGGCAACACACTGCTCTCAAGCTTCCAAATCTCCCAAAGACCTTGGTTAGAGTCATCAGCCAAGAAAAGTTTGAGAAGTCTCGAGCATACAGTCTTGACAAAAGGTTTCAGTCTTCCCTAGTTTCTTTTTATCAATAGGTGTTGTTAGCTTCTCGTAATTGGCAAGGCTATTATCATCACTGAGGTTGCTTCATTCTTACAGCCATTTTCACTTTGTTCATGAGTTTGTGACTATCCTTATGGACTCTGCTATTTTGTTCTTCGGGATCTTGCCTTGGTTTTGGAAGGTACACATTGATCTCATTTCATTATTTAGCTTCTGCTCTTTATAGTATATTGGTATTATGATAAAAGTATGATTTATTCTTTTTACCTGCTGTAGATATCTGGAGGTTTCCTACCAATGGTGGGACTCAATCCAGAGAGTGAAATACTGCACACTCTTTCATTCTTGGCTGGTGTTATGACATGGTCACAGGTCTTTCAAATTGCCCCTTCTTATATTCTTTTGCGTTTTAGGATTCAAAAGGATATCTATTTGTTGAAGATAATATGGTTTCTTTTATATTATGATGCAGATCACTGATTTGCCATTTTCTTTGTACTCAACGTTTGTGATTGAGTCTCGGCATGGGTTCAACAAAGTATGTCGTATTGCCAACACTACCTTGTGATGTGTCTTAGCTTTTCTTTATTACTTGTGGATTAAAGTTTCTCATAAATTTGGTTGCAGCAAACAATATGGATGTTCATTAGGGACATGATCAAAGGAATACTTCTCTCTGTCGTACTAGCCCCACCTATCGTTGCCACAATTATTTTCATAGTTCAGGTAGTGATTTTGGATTCATCTGATTCCGAGTTTTTCTTATATATGACTGTTCTCTTGTGAATGTAAGCTTCCAAGTTTTGAACTACTGTGTTAAGGTTTTTATCTTCTTTTTTGGCAGAAAGGAGGTCCTTACCTTGCCATCTATCTGTGGGCATTCATGTTTATCCTGTCTATAGTGATGATGACAATATACCCAGTTTTGATTGCACCGCTTTTCAACAAGTTCACTCCTGTGAGTATTCCAGTCATTTTACAACTCAGGCCATATTTTTCACTCTGTTATTACCAGAGAACTAAAAGCTTCCTTTTGTATTGGGGTATAGCTTCCGGATGGAGACCTCCGGGAGAAGATTGAGAAACTTGCTTCTTCTCTAAGGTTTCCTCTGAAGAAGCTGTTTGTTGTTGATGGATCTATAAGGTCAAGCCATAGTAATGTGAGGAGCTTAAAGACTTGAGATCGCCTCGTACCTATAGTTTCTAGTGACTACTAGAAGCTCACGTTTCTTGTTACATCGTATAGGCTTACATGTATGGTTTCTTCAAGAACAAAAGGATTGTTCTTTATGATACATTGATTCAACAGGTACTGTGACTCTCAATGCTTTAAGCGAGCTATACTCAGATTCTGGTTCTAAAACATAATATTTTATCCTTTTTTTTTTAAAATGTACAGTGCAAGAATGAGGATGAAATTGTGGCGGTTATTGCACACGAACTGGGACACTGGAAGTTGAATCACACTACATACTCGTTCATTGCAGTTCAAGTGAGCAACGACTGTCAAAACTTATTTACTCATTATGTTCATTCAGTGTCTTATGTCTCCATGTTTTTTTGTTGCAGATCCTCACCTTCTTACAGTTTGGAGGATACACTCTTGTCAGAAACTCCACTGATCTCTTCAGGAGTTTTGGATTTGATACACAACCAGTTCTCATTGGTTTGATCATATTTCAGGTTTGTCATTTTTTGGTTTTGGACACTAAACTAACAGAATCCAGAAAGGAATACACAAAAAGAAAACTTCATACCGATCTTATATATTCTCCTGTCTGATTCTGACAGCACACAGTAATACCACTGCAACACCTAGTAAGCTTTGGCCTCAACCTTGTTAGTCGAGCGTTTGAGTTTCAGGTAAAATCTTACAGTCCCTCTATATCAATTAAAGGCTTCTTTCTTTCAAAACATCACTAACTCTGAGTTAAACGTTCGATTTGCAGGCTGATGCTTTTGCAGTGAATCTTGGTTATGCAAAGGATCTCCGTCCTGCCCTAGTGAAGCTACAGGTCAGAGAAGATAACAAAAAATCAAAACACGGACTGTTTATACTTTAAGTGGTGCCATGCTTTAATGGTTTTATATTTTTTGGGGACTTTTGCAGGAAGAGAACTTATCAGCGATGAACACTGATCCGTTGTACTCAGCTTATCACTACTCACATCCTCCTCTTGTAGAGAGGCTTCGAGCCATTGATGGAGAAGACAAGAAGACAGATTAGATCGTATACGTCTGTTGTACGGATTCTATGACACTTTTACTCAGTATCTTTCGATTGTTAGGTAAAAAAAAACATGAGAAAATAGTTTTTTTTAAGCCAAATAGGTTTGGACATTGTCCATTTAGCTTAAATTCATTAACTTATTGTCTCATTAGGTTAAATATTTTCTAAATGGCAATAATGACCTTAAAATCGAATTTTCCTCTTTTTTTTTTAAAATCGAATTTTCCTCTCTTTTTTTTTAAAATCGAATTTTCCTTTTTTTATTAAAATCGAATTTTCCTCTTTTTTAAAAAAAATCGAATTTTCCTTTTTTTTAAAAATCGAATTTTCCTCTTTTTAAAAAAAATTGAATTTTCCTTTTTTTACAAAAAAGTCGAATTTTCCTTTTTTTTTTAAAAAAAAAATGGAGTTTTAAATATGGTAATAGAATATTTTCTAAGATATTCTTGCTATATTTTCGGATCTAATAATATTTATCCGTAGAATTCAGATTCTACTAAACGTAGAACTGTGTAAAAAGATATGAAATCAGTTTCTACGTGTATTAGAACGTTGTGCGAATTTAGATTCTGACTTCTACTTGTCTTAGATTTANATTTATCCGTAGAATTCAGATTCTACTAAACGTAGAACTGTGTAAAAAGATATGAAATCAGTTTCTACGTGTATTAGAACGTTGTGCGAATTTAGATTCTGACTTCTACTTGTCTTAGATTTAAGTACGAATTTAGATTTCAACTTCTACTCTTTTTAGAACTATATGATAAGCGTGGAATGTGTATTCCAAACTATTTAAGATTCATGCTATCTCTGTAGAAAACATATTCTGCAATTCGTAGAAATAGTGAAAAAAGTGGATTCCGTATTCTAATCCGTAGAATACATATTCTAATTTCGGTAGAATAGATATATGAAATTATTATTTACATATTTTTAAAACAAGAAAAAAATATCACTATATAGATATAGAGATTTCATCATTATGTACTATTTTTTTAAAAAAAATTGCTTCATAAATCTATTTTTTTAATAATTTCGAAAATACATAAAGGGCATTAGAGTCAAAATTGGTACAAAATATAATTTAGCCTAAAGAGACAATATCCAAACCTATTTGGTCTAAAAAAACAGTTTCCCCAAAAGCAAAATGTTTTACAAAAGTCCACAGGCTTTAGTTTTAGAGCCTTGCCCAATAAAACTCATATAATTAAACCCAATTCAACCATATCAGTGATAGAGCCCAACAAGAGAGGCCCAGGTGAGGAGGTAGGAAGTTTTTAGCCATCAGAAGCTTTGTAGTTGACGAAGAAGGTTAGGGAAATATGGAAACGATCAAGAGTCATCGAATCCATTGTTGCATCATCTCTGAGGACCTTCTGGGGTTACTCTCACGAAAGCTCTGTATTTTGTTCCTGATCTGGTGGTCAATTTGAGAGAAGAGGGAGTCAATTTATCTAAAAGTGTTTGCATGAAGCCGCTGATTTCGCTCATGCCAGATCCAATACATAGTAGTCTGCCAGCCAAGGAGAATAAGTGATCGGGTTGAAGTTGGCGGGGGGAGAGTGGTCATCTGGGAGATAGTATTTTCCCATAGTCGGTTTGGTTGGATCCTGCATCTTCCTGCTACACGGTTCCAAAGATGAAAGGCAAAGTCACACTCCCAGTAAAGATGATCTCGAGACTCATCAGCAATGTTACAGAGGAGACAATGAGATGGGACCTGAAGGCCCCAACTGATCAGTCTATCGCGAGTTGGGATTCTATTCAAGACCACTAGCCAAGCATGAAAGCTTTGTCGTGGGATGCTGCGGCTTGGCCAGACTGCTGAGTACCAATTAACCTCCGGTATTTGTCCACGCAAGTGATGGTAAGTTTCCCCAGTGCTATACTTCTCGCTAGTCTTCCCATTTATTTCCCATTCATAGTAATCTACTTCCCCATTGAATTGTTTCGTAGTGACAAATGACAGGACCAATAGCTGATTGTCTGATCTTGCTGCAGGGAGTCTCCATATTCCATTCCGACAGAGAGATGCCAGAGTTGCATCTTTCGGAATGCCTAGACGTGTTCTGGCTCCCAAGAATTCCCGAAGGTCACCATAAGGACTCCAATTGTCAATCCAGAATCTACCATATTCTCCATTTTGTATCCTCATGTGGATCAAAGGGTAAGCCACACTCCTTAACTTCAGCAATTTGTTCGTTAACCAAGAGAAGTTTTGGGACGGGGTTATGGTCCAGAAATTGCTTATGGAGCCTTTTAGAATAACTTCTTTGAACCAGGAAACCCATACCGAATCTAGTCTGAAGAAGAGGAGCCAAATCAAGCGCAAGCAGCATGCCTTGTTCCAAATCTCAAGATCCTTTACCCCCAAGCCACCTTCTTCCTTAGTCTTCACAACCGTAGACCAGGCGACTCTCGCCGTATTGTGAGCATCCAGGGTGCCTTTCCATAAGAAGACACTGCACATCGAGTTTATTTTAGCTACGCAAGCTTTGGGAAGAACAAATGATGAGCACCAAAAAGTGGTAATTCCTGAGATGACAGTTTTTATTAGCATTAGTCTTCCTGAGAAAGATAGAGTTTTTATTGACCAGAAGGAGAACCGGGTTTTGATCTGGTGTAAGAGAGGTTCACAGCTTGCAAGGGACAGCTTCCGTGAGTTCATTGGCACCCCAAGATACCTGAAAGGTAGGTTACCACACGCCATTCCTGTAGATGCTTGGATCGTATTTATTTCTTCCTCAGTTAATCCTGACGCATAAAAACTCGTTTTCTGCATGCTTACAGCCAGTCCCGATCTATCTTCGAACTCTTTGAGAACTTGAAGCACACATTGAACAATTTCTAAGTTTCCCTCAATGAAAATCAGGAGATCATCAGCAAAAGAGAGGTGAGTCAGTTTTATTTTCTTGCATTTTGCGTGGTATTTAAACCTTGATTGCCCTGCAGCTGCATTCAACATGTGAGAGAGACAGTTCATCGCAATAACAAAGAGGTAAGGGGAGAGAGGATCCCCTTGCCTCAGGCCCCTTGTACCTTTGAAATACCCATTGACTGTGCCGTTGTAGCCAACCATGAAACTTGTTTTGCATATACACGACGAAAGCCAGTGCACAAATTGCTGCGGAAATCCCAGACCTAGGAGACAAGAGAACAAGAATTCCCAAGATAAGGTGTCGAACGCCTTAGCTATATCAACTTTGATGGTAATTTTCTTTGTTCCTTTGTTTTTGTGGTATCCGTTGATTAACTCGCTAGCGAGGACAGTGTTCTCAAGAATGAGTCTCCCTTGAACAAAGGCTGTCTGGCAGGGAAGAATTAGGCTAGGCAGAACAGGTTTCAATCTTTTGACCAGCAAGCGGGATATAACTTTATAGATTGTGTTGAGACAAGAGATTGGCCTGAATTCTGTAATTTTTGATGCTCCAGGGAATTTAGGGACCAGAGTGAGGATCGTGGCGTTTGTTGTTGACGGCAAGAACCCTGTGATGAAGAACTGCGAGATGGAGTTGACAACATCTTGGCCAACAATTTCCCAGGCTGCTTTGAAGAATCCCGAGGTGAGACCATCAGGCCCTGGTGCCTTATTTGGGTTCAGCTTGAATAACACTGATTTGATCTCATCAGCAGACGGGATTAGTAACATTTGTGAGCTTTGCAGGGGAGGAACCACGAAGTTTAGGAGATTTAGGAACCATGCTTGAGGAGAAGAGATGGCGGTTGTAGGCGCAGGAGGTCCTAAAACAGAGCAGAAATGGGAGACAGCGAGAGAGCTCATCTCCAATGGATCTGTTATCCAGATGCCAGCAGTATTGACGAATGCTCGAATTGCATTATAGCTTGATCGGACCTGACAGATTCTGTGAAAGAACGCGGTATTAAAATCTCCATCCCGCAGCCAATTTATTCTAGACTTCTGTCTAAAGTACAGTTCTTCTATCTCCCTAAGGAAATTCCATTTTTGGTGAAGGTCTCTTTCCGCTTGGAAGTTTGTTGAGGTTGGGTTCTCCATAGCTTGTACCTGCACACATTGAAGCAAACTGTGAGTTTCCGTTACCCTCTCCTGAATTTTTGAGTAATTCTCTCTGTTTATCTTTTTTAGTTCACTCTTGATTTGTTTTAGCTTCCAGCACAGTTGTGATAATGTGAGGCACACGCTTCCAGCTTAAATCCAGGCGTCATTTATCAACTGAACAAACCCCGAGTGCTTAGTTAGGTAGTTCTGAAATTTATAAGGGAAAGTGCCAGTTTGGGGTAGGAAAAGGGCCAGGTTTATGAGACAGGGGGTGTGATCCGAGGTTTCTTGGGGGAGGAAAGAGGCAACAACATGAGGGTAGGAAGAGATAGTAGTGTTATTGACCAAAAGGCGATCGAGCTTCTTTGCAATAGGGCTATCAGGTTGGTTATTTGACCAGGTGTGACACGGCCCGAGATATCGCAGATCAAATAGTCCAGCTTGGAGAAAACAACCCTGAAGCTGGTACATGAGATTATCAAGGTGATCAACTGCAGGGCTTGAGTGTTCTAAAGGGAATATGATCTGGTTAAAATCACCACCAACTATCCAATTTTTGGTGTCAAGATCGAGAACGGAGTGGATTTCAAGCAGATCATTCCAGAGCTCAACTCTTTCATCACTGAGGTTTGAAGCATATATGGCAGTATAGATGATAGGAGCTTGATTCGGAATAGTGATAGAACACGTGATTTGCTGCCTGGATTGACACAAGAGTTGAACCACCAGAGGGTCTTTCCAAATTAGAATAATGCGACCATCAGGGTCAGAGAAATGATTTGAGAGAAACTTCCAGCCAGGGCAGATTTTAGAGATAATAGATTGAAGGGAGGGTTCTTTTATATGAGTTTCAAGAAGGGCACCAAAAAAAGGCTTTTGGCATCTAAGCCAATCAACAAAAGGTTTATGCTTATCCGGGTCATTTAGGCCACAGACGTTCCAAAAAAAGAGCTTGACACTCATAGGGAAGGAAGAGGAG